AGATTATTGTTTGCCTTTGTTGGTACCTTCACGCGGTGTGTGGCGGGATACTCTGATCGTTGCCCATGCTGTGGTGATGTGTCAGACTTTCTTCTCCAGACCGCTACCCCGTGTACACGACGCAACACCGTGAGTGCCTACTACGAAGCGGGCAGCCGTGGAGCAGCGAATGGTTTAGATATTCTGCCCTCGGTTATTTCCGCGTTTGACTTTATTACGGACGTTGCTCGCATTCCTGATAATTCTATTATTCCTTTATTTATTGGATTCCTGTGGGCCAACAGGGGCCGGAGGAGCTAGATTTGATCTTCATCTATTTTATTCAATTTAATAATTAGGTTGCCGAAATCATGATGTCAGTGCTACAGCCTCCATCATCTCATGGAGGCCTAAGTCCCCGCAATCCACTCGGGGAATCTACATCGATGTCTTCTACGCCCTCGCCTCCTTCTTCTTCCTCTTCTTCTTCGTCATCGACGCCACGGCAGCCGGCGCCCGTTGGGTCGAAGCGGGAGATGCAGAACGAGCTGAAGGTTTTCCTCAAGTGGTACCTCAACTTCGGGGTCTACAAGCTCAGGAAGGGCAAGTTCAAATACGGCGTCCTTCAGGTTCTCTTGCCCCCCCCCTCCTTCGCTTTCGCTTTCGCTTTCGTTCTTCCACCCTCTTCTCTTCGCTTTCGCTCCATCTGTTGCCCTTTCGTTTTTTCATTTGTATTGAATGAGAAGTCACTCCTCACGACAGCGGCCGCTGCCGTCGCACTCTGACCTTTCACTTTTTCTTTTTGCTCAGCTGGACTACCTCCACGGCCGGGTCGGCGTAGGCAAGAAGGGCCAGGCACGCTCTCCGCCGCTCATCAACCCCCTTTCCCCGCGTGGTCGTTTGACATGGCCCTCCTCCTTCCCTCCACCCCCACAGGCGTACCTGCACATGCCATTCGAAATACTGGACAAGGTCACCTTGTCAGAACAGGACTCGCGCTGCTTTCACATTCACCTTCATGACCTCACCCCGTACTCATTTCGCTCTCGCGCACACACGCGACACACACGACACACACGACACACCCACCCACTCAGGTCAACTTAGAAAGAAATTTTGACTCTTTGAAATGCAACAAAAAAACAGGGTGGTGCTGTACAGCCAGCAGGAGGAGGACCGACCCACGATTGTCAACGAGCTGCGACAAATCATCAACAACACCGAGTTCCTCAAGGGCAGCACCGAGCCGCCAAAACTGGTGCGTACCTGCGTTGTGTGCGTGTGCGTGTGCGTGTGCGATTGAGCAAAAGTGCTCATTTGTTTCCGTTACAGAACGACTACGCGGAGATCATCCGGTTGGGCGAGGTGGAAAAAAAGGGTCCAGTCAAGTGGGTCACGCGAACGCTCGTCCTCACCGACAACCAGCTCCTGTGCATGCGGGTGCGCTCCCCTTGTCCAGTCGTCCAACAAACGTTCTCTTTCTCTTTTCCCGCTTCTTGTTGTAACACGCACATGAATGTGTAGGATACATCGCGAGACGCGTTTCCGGTCAACGTGATCGACATTTGCGACATTTTGGCTGTTGAGCGCGAGAAGGACGCCACGTTCAAGGTCGTGACCGAGCTTCGCACCTTCCAGTTCAAGGCCTCGTCCACTGTACGCTTTCCTCGGTACTTGTTCGGAGTTGAAAGCTTGGTGTAGATTCGGAGCTAAACGAACAAGCACCAAACTCTTCGCCCATACAGCCGAAACGAGAAAAGTGGGTCACCAAGCTTACGGCGACCGTCGAACTGCAGAGGTACCCGACATTCCTGAAATACCACAAGTGGTCGCACGAGCTAACCTTGAGCGTTCGCTCTTCGTGATTGCATTGTGGCGCCACAACAGCGAACTGAGGGAGAGGGCGCTCGAGGAAAAGAAAAAGAAGCAGCGGAAACAGAAGCACGACGCTACCACGCCATCGGAGCTCATGCTCCCCTCAGGCATCCCGCTGCTCGTGCGCCCCTGCCACCCCCATCTCAGCTGAGTGGCCCATTCTGATCGTCATTCCACCCTGCGCACACGCATGGCACAGGGTCGATACGAGGTCCATTTTGCAGACTTGCACACACTGTTCGGCCAGAACGTGCAGAAGCCGGACAACAAAATCATCAACCTGAAGGTCTACTACGACATCAAGTATGCCGCAGCTCGCAACCAAGTCCGAAAAGAGGCACGCCACCCCACGTTCACGTTAATCTTACAGGCCCACATCTCCCTCTAGGCAGGTGGCTTACGCCTCACCTGTCGCAGATTTCGATCGTGAGCGTGGCCACCGGCGCACTGGCCGTCGACACCGCCGGAGACTCAGTCATGCACGCTGCGTACGCCCCCAAGTCACCCTTCCAGGGACCATCGCACTCCATTCCTTTCTCATGCTCGTTCCGTGGCGTATGTGTCGTGTTGCGTGTTGCGTGTGGTGCTTTGTGATGTGCAGAACGGGACTGCAGCAGGGCGAGGGCGTGAACGGTGCCGGGGAGAGCGAGGACGAGGCCGGCCAGCCCACCGGGGAGGACTTCCGCAAGAAGAAGAGCAAGAAGCTGCGCATGCGAACCAAGCTGATCAAGTCAAGTCCCGACCTCAACTCGTCGCTCGGCAGCTCCGATTCCAAGCGACGGTTCCTGCGCAAGGGCAGCGAGAAGAAGTTCCGCAAAGGCAGCAAGTTCCCCTCGCACTCGGACATCGTCTTGCCCGTCACGCGCGTGCGTACCCCATTCCTGAACATTCCACGCGCGTTCCATTGCATTCATGGGCACATTCCTCATCGCTGACGTGGTGCTGGTGGTATTATTGGCGTGAAGGATGTGGTGAGTGCGCGCGAAGAGCGAGATGAGGTGGAGCCGCGGGTCATCAACGATAAGCGGAGCTGGGGCCTCGAACGCAAGACGTCGGTCGTCGGTCTCCCCCGCTTCAACTCGGGTGCGCACCACCATTTCAATCACCACATTCCATTCCATGTTCACATTCCTCGTATACCATCATAATAGAGTCGCCGCTCGGCGCGCCGCGCATGCTGTCGAACCATCGGTCCGGCGGGTCGGCGATCACTGCGATGTCGGCGTCCGTGCCCCACCCGGCCCCGCTTCAGGGCGGCGGCCGCCCCACATCTCCGCCACCGCTGCCAGCCCGGCCCGGCCCCGCCTTGCCGCCGCGACCACCGCGTTCGCCCCGATTCCTCCCACAGCCGCCCGCCGCCGCCGGCGCCGCTGGTGGTGGTGCTAGTGGTGTTGCTGCTGACGTCAGCAGTGTCGGCAGCGGCGAGCAAAAGCCGTCGACAACGACGTCGTGGGCCAAGTACCGATTCGGGGAGGGCCTCAACAACGACGCGGCCAACAAGCGGCGCAGCCGCACGTTCCACTACACGGCCCTGGCGACGATGCCTGCCACCACCGACGCCGCCGCTGGCGCGACGACGAAGATCGGAATCGGCGGCGGGCGTCAGCGCACGACCGAACAGGCGGAGAGCGGCCACCAGCGAAGTGAGGCGGCCTCGAGCGCGACGACGACCGAGGACGAGCTCAGCAGCCACGATGATGAAGAGGACGATGACGAAGAAGACAGCGACAGCAGCGACGAGGACGGGGAGATCGAGGCGGAGGTCGAGCTGGACGACGAGGACGATGATGACGAGGACTCGGACGACGATGACGACGGCTGGACCGGGGGAAGCGGAGGGTCCGGAAGCGAAGGTGGCGGCGGCAAGGGTCCATCGACCCCCTCGCCGTCTTCGTGGCGCCGCGGCGCACGTCGCGTACGGCTTCGCTTTCGCTCTTTTCGTTTCTTTTATTCATTTGTCACAAAGTTCTAACACATCGTTACACAGCGTTCTCTGGACGTCATGGGTGGTAGCGGGGAGTACAACCGAGTCTCCGTGTTCGGCAAGAGCCTGGGCATGAAAGACATCTGCATCCTCCAAACAGGTAATTTTTTTGCATTTCATCTCTTTTATTCATTTCACGTTTTTTTGTGTTTTTTATTATTACTACTACGACTCTTGGTAATGTGACCGCAACCACAGGAGGAATTTTTACCAAGTACTGCCGCAACACGAAGGGCACCAAGAATTTCAAGGGCGCGCGCCGACAGCGGTCGGTCTGTCTGAGCGAGGACCTCACCTCCATCCTCGTCTACCGCCACCTCGACCGATCGCTCAAGGCCAAGAAGGACTGTCGCTCCATCGGCCTCTCGCAGGTACCCACTACTCGCCCCGGCAAGTCATCGGAGTTAAAAAAACAATCAGCACTGACGGACACGCGCTTAGGTGGTGGACATCTGCAAGGGCTTCAAGACGCCGATTCTCATGCGCCACGGCCGGCCCGGCGAGGAGGGGCTGGCCCTGTCCATCTACTACACCAAGCCGTACTCGGGCGATCGTACGCTGGACCTGGTGGCCGCCACGCCGGACGTTCGTGGTAAGAACCTCTGGCCATTACATTCAAATAAGGGCAGATCACGGTTTTGCTGAACATTGTTGTGTTGTTTGCGTATGTGCCAGATATGTGGGTGCAGTGTCTACAGCATCTGCTGGCCTCACGACGAGACAGGGCCTGACCCTGAAGCCATGCTCACACATCAACCCAACCACTACTCTTTGGCCACAAACAACACAGTCACTACCAAAAACCAAAATGGATCTCATTTTGTGGTTGTAATGGAGATCCTTGCACTCATCAACCATTGGGTGCAACTGGTGTAATGTCTACAGCTAGCTGTCACACTACATCAGTTGTCCCCCACAGCCTTCCTTGCTCCCCCCCTAACCCAATCCCCAACCACACCGCCCAATGCACCAACCAAAATTCGAAGCCCTCTGCCCCCTTGGCCAATAGGCTTATGGGCGGACTTTTTGGCACAGTGAAGGGCTTGTTTTTATTTTCCTCTCCGTCATTGGAGCTCTT